AGAATATTTTATTTATTTGAATTGTATATTTATATTTCAGTTTCAGTGGATACCTTATGCGAGCGATGAAGTGAAAGCTTGCATCCCACCCCACCTTAGAGGGTCATTAGAGGTATGGATATCGGTTATACCTCTTATATGTTATGCTATTATTGAGTGGCATCCAGTTGATCGCGTGCTCCGTCAGTATGGTTGTACGCAATATATTCCTGGAGCTCCTAGAAATTTAGACGACGTGCATGACATAGATAGACGGGGAAAGAAAGATGTTAACTGGGTGGTGAGACACAGAGATTGGATTGCGCTTTGGGAGAACCGATATACATTGTTGGCCCCTCGACAATATTACGCTGAAACTGGTCATATGGTTACGGATAACTATATGGACTGGTTTAATGAAAATGGGAAGTCGTTTCTACTTTCGGCGGAAGCACGAGGGGTTAACATTCCTAGGCGCCGAGAAAGACGTCAACCGTCTCAATATCATCGTCCCCCGACGCGTGGACGGAGAGAAGGCGCTACCGGTTCTGCATCAGTCCCACCACAACATCCTTATTCGTCGATGCCGCAGGGGTACATGCCCAGCCCTCCACTTCATATGCCAAGCCCACCAGTTTATATGCCATCTCCGCAGGGTTACATTCCGAGCCCGCAGGGTTACATTCCTAGCCCGCCAGGTTACATGCCTAGCCCGCCAGGTTACATGCCTAGCCCGCAGGGTTTTATACCATATGGAGGTGCATATACGACTATGTTTAATGATCCAGCATATGCTTCATATGCATCTTATTTGGCTGGTGGTGCTTCTCCGCAGACACCTCAATCTTCATCTGGATCACATACATCGATGCCAATGTTTCCACAGTTTCCACAGTTCCCGGGGAGCGGTGGGATTGTTACTAGCACTCCTCCAGGGTCGTTATTTTATACAGGCCCTTCAGCCCCTTCAGCGTCATATGCACCAAATGAAGAAAATGCTGCTGATGATGATAGTGAAGATGAGGAGACTGAAGAACAAGTTCCACGAAGAAATCCTCCACGAAATAGGCAACCACCGCCATGTGGAACTCATTCGAGACGACGACATCGGTGATCCAGTTATATTTAATGTTATTTAAATAATTAAATTTCAGAATTTTATGTAATTTGGTTATGTTATTTAAATGTTTCATGGTTGTTACATACATATTTTTTTATGTTATTTTTTATTCACATTTAACATTAAATGTTTGATAAATGTTTTTAAAATACAACTTATATTATTCGAAATTTAAAATAAAAATAAAAATAATATTATTCAAATTTAAATTTAAAATATAAATTATAGTATTCGAAATTTAACATTAAATTTCAACTTAATATTCCAATTGTATTCGAAATTAAAAGTTATATTCCAATTATAGTTCACAATACTTAAATTGAAATTAAAGGACTCCATACATATGATTTTATCATTAACATATATATTAAAACGTATACATTAAAATCAACTTATGTTGAGTTCATCGATCGACGGAATCAACCAAGAGGGGGGTGAATTGGCAATTTATTCAATGTCACATTTCAATGCTCATTCCATACAATTTCAATGTCACAATCAACTTATCACTTCACATTAAAATCAACTCGGTGGACAGGCTCTTACTTGGATGCAAAACGGACATATTTACCACCCAAGACTAGTAGCCGATTTACAGAAAAAAATGGCTACATCAAATGAGATGTTAGTTACAAATTTTTCTCGCACCCGTGAATTGTTTCGTGTAACCGAAATGCCACGTCCGCTGCAAGGGATTGAAGCTAACTCTTTCAGAGTTAATCTGCAAGAGAGGTGGTGCGATTGTGGTTTCTTTCAAGCACTCAAATATCCATGCTCTCATGTCATTGCTGCTTGCTCACATTCGCATTTGGACTACAAAAATTATGTTGATCCCGTATACCAACTTTCACAAGTTTTCAAGGTATATGAATTTGAGTTTCCGCCCATAGGAAACGAAAGAGACCCAAATGAGATTCAAACTTGGCTTACAATTGTCCCAGATCCATTGCTATTGAGGGACTCAGGTCGTCCAAAATCTACTAGAATACATTGTGATATGGATATTCGGGAGAAGTCAACAGAACAAAAACGATGTGGGCATTGTAGAAACATCGGGCACAATAGAAAAAAATGTCCAGCTCTGTTATCATCATATAACTGTTAACTCTTATGTAATTAAAGTTTTTAAATGAATGTTTTTATTTCTAATAATTTAATGTTATTGCATTAAAATATAATAATAATTCCACCTTTTAAGTAGAGAAAAATATTAAATTAAACAAATTAAAAGTTATTAAAAAATTTATGTATACAATGACACATTTCATGTTCTGATTGGAGGATTAAATTTATTAAATTAAATTTTCAATAAGACTAATTTTATAAAATATGTAATCTTGAAGATTAAATATGTAATTATACTAATTTATTAACTTATGCATCAATATTTTCGTTAAATATTGATATGAGATGACTAGATTGATAACATTTAAATAATTAACTGGTAAAATTAATAGATCGATAATCAAAATCAAAAATACTCGAAACTTGATAATTCTTACATTATAATCGAAACATTTTACATAATATATTATTAATTTATAATAATAATAAAAATAAACTATTTATTATAAAATAAAATACGTGTCTGCTGAGTTGGTAAAGGCGCGTCCCCGGGGACGCGCCTTTCACACGTGGCATCCAACTCAGCGAAAAAACCGGGTAAAGCGCGCCCCCGGGGACGCGCCTTTGCCAACTCAGCAGAAAGGGTGCTAGTTTTGAAAAAATTGGTCGAACGGTGTTAGAAAAGTAAAAATAAAAACAAACGGTGTCAGTGGGGGTAAAAAAGCCACCCTTAACTCGGATGTTGTAATAAAAGGGCACAAACCATAGGTTAAACCTCCCCTTTCTTTTTGGGTTTATTGGCTTTTACAGCAAAGATACCACTAATGTCATGGACACAAACCCTATAAACTGTTTTCCTTTGCCATTGCCTTGGTTTTCTTATTATTATTCGAATGGAACTGATGTTTTGTGTAATGAATTCATTATGTTCATCGATTTGTTTATTGTTTCTATTTGGGGTTTAGTCATTTAGGGTTAATGTTCATCGATCGCTAGTTGAACGTGAAAGAATTTTCTGCAACCCGACAGGACAATTGTGCTTTGTTGTGTACCTAAATTTCCCTTGAAGAACAATTATACTTGAAAGAGGAGAGTGCTGGTGCACGTAGTTGTGTAAAGGATTAAGGGAAGTGTCCTTTACGTATTTGCATTATTCTATGCTTTCGGAAAGAGTCACTAAAACAAGATTTTAGCGGGTACAATGGAACCCTAGCTAGTAGCCATATGGCAGAGACAAAAGACCAATTCTGAGAGAGAAAGCAGCGGTACACAACTCAGTTAGATGAGCATATAGCATAATAACAAATTAAGGTTATGTAGAGTTACAAGGGCTAATGCAAAGGGGCAAAGCCTGAGCGTGTTACAATTTGGGAGGAGCAAAATTTGATTCTATTAGATTTTTATTGATTTGACATTAAAAATTTTGATTTCATTTAATTAAATTCATAATTTTATATATTTGTTTCGATATAAAAAATTAAAATAAAATTTGAGATATAATATATTATTCAAGTAATTCAAAAATTTTAAAAATTAATTGATTGATTTTATGTTCTAATTGATTTATTAACTTTGCGTGATATATAAATAGCACATATGCAAAAAAAATAAAAAAATAAAATATATATTCATATAGTATCTGATTATAAAAATTAATTTAAATTAGATTTAATCATTTTTTTGATATAATCACCAGAATCCGATCTATTAATTAATTAATTCAGATAAGATACTACTGAGATAAGAATAATCTGTAATCCAGTTTACTCCATTCACAATCGTCAAAATTCAAACCCCTAACCTTACTTAAATAATTTAATATTTTATCTTATTAGATTATCAGATCGTTGGTAAATTAGAATTAGTTATTATTATAACATAATATTACAAATAAATTAAATTTAAACAAAAATTTTATAATTTAGCAAGAGTTAGACGGACTCATAGGGAGAGAATTGTTGAAGCTTGATTGGAGCCGTATCTCATGAACACCATGGTGTGTACCACATAATGGATGAAAGCTTTAATGGGGGGAGGGAGGGAGGGAGGGAGAGAGAGAGAGAGAGAGAGAGATTCGGACTGTCGCATTTGGTTGATCAGCTTTTGTAGTTGAAGCCAACTTTTTTTCTTCTATGTTAAATAATTGCGGATTAGATGCTATGACTGAGACTAACGACGAGTGTTGTGAGATTTTTAAATAAATTCAGATTTTATAATGACAGTTTCAGTTGGTTGATTGATGATTTCGTGCCCCCGTAAACCTTTTTCCTCGATTTGATCGTTTCTTTTCTTCCATTGTTGTATTTATTCTGTTTCCTTCTCCTAATACATGGAGTAAAATATAAGAAACCGATTTTATAAACGTCTAATCTCTCTTTGTTGTTTGCCAGTAATGGCAGTGTGTACCAGTTAGCAGTGCAAGTTCCATCGGGAAGGTAAAGTTTTGCATCCACACAAGCAGTCATCTGCATAATGGTAGTATGAAAATTTTGAATGCCATCTGTTCTCTATTTTCTCTCTCCATCTTGTCTTCCAAACAAGTGAAAAAGAAGCTCCAGAGAATTAATCCTCTTCTCGTAGTGACATGGAAGATAATTAAACAATCAAACTCCCATTTTCCCAAAGGAAATATGAGTAGGCTTTGCCAGAAATTAACTTACTGCTTGCTGCTGCTACCACTATTTAGGTGCTTTCCTATAAATAACCTGTTTCTTTGTAGCATGAATCTCGGGAGAGTTCTTTAGATATAAACAATCTTTAGGGCAAAGGAGAGAATAAATTGCGTAGGAAAGAGAAACCAAGTGAACAACTAGGAGAAGAAAAGGAAGAAAGACAAGATAGTGAGAGATAATGGAAGGTGGTTCCAATAGCACTTCTTGCATAATGGCTTTTGGAGACAATGGTAATGGATTGTGTCCTATGTCGATGATGCATCATCCCATGACTTCTCATCATCATCATCATAATACAGACTCATCAGGATCCTTATTTCTTCCTCTACCTCTCACTAACAATCAAGACCATAACCACAATAGCAGCAGTGCTTCCTCTTTGATTATAGACGATCATCAAAACAACAACAGCAACACTGGATGTTATTTCATGGAGTTCAACAACGTTGCCAGCTCTTCTATTAAGGCAAAGATCATGGCTCATCCTCACTACCATCGTCTCTTGGTCGCCTATGTTAATTGCCAAAAGGTGGAAGCTGTTTTTATAAACCTATCGTCAATCTAGTTTCTCTAATGGAAGCAGTATTAACTTTAACAAAACCAAGCAGGTAGGAGCGCCGCCTGAAGTGGTTGCGAGGTTGGAAGAAGCATGCGCGTCCGCAGCTATGGGTCCTGCAAGGAGCAGCTGCATAGGCGAGGATCCAGCACTTGACCAGTTCATGGAGGCTTATTGTGAGATGCTGATTAAATACGAGCAAGAGCTCTCTAAACCCTTCAAGGAAGCCGTGCTTTTTCTACAAAGGGTTGAGTGTCAGTTCAAAACCCTCACAGTTTCCTCTCCAATTTCTGGTGATAATGTTCTCTCCCCCTCCTAAATCTGATTATTTCTAATATTTTATTTTAAAGCAACGTGCATGTCTACAAAATTTCATTCATTCCTTTTTGTTGCATCTTCCTCTCTTTGTGGTTTTCTCTTTGACCCTCTTTAAAATTTCTGCTGCATCGTTTCATATCACATATGGAACTGTTCTTAGTCATCATCTTGATGTGCTTCATTGTGAAGTTGTCTGGATTGCTAGATATGGGGCAAACAACAGGTTAAGTTAGGTTATTTACATTGAAGATTGTTAAGTGATGAACAAAACAATGGAAATACATACGCGTTGCAGCTTGCTAGGGCTAGCCTACATGATATTGAGATGCAAAGGTACTGAAGTGCGTAGAAAACTGAAAGGTATTGTTCAAAGATCATGATCATGATGTCAAAGAGAATAATCAAAACTTTTGAGAATTTAGGGCTTGATCAAACTAGGGTTGCAGATGGATTACTGTTTGGGTATTAATTTGGAAAGACGTTGGGCACTGAATTTCCTGAGTTTTCTACGTTGTAGTTGCCATATTCGAGACGATGATATATGGTGCTGATACAATATCTCAGTGTTGTTGAGTGTTCTATATTTTATACAATTTCTTTTCTATTTAATGGATTTGCATTTAGGTTTGATCTAGCATTTGGACTAGTTTGTTTAGCATTCAGAATTTCAGATACTTCATGCATGCCATCTGCAAGTGACTAAGGGTAGGTGCTGTTTTTTCATGTTTTGTTTTCTCCCTTGGTACTTTCATTTTATACATTTTCCAATGGACTTTGTTGAAGGCATTAGTATGAAGTTCCACAAGTAATTATTTAGAGTTATTTCATTCCGGTGATGCCGGCTTCTTCGTATTAGGATGTGCTCTAACTTCTATTATCCTATATAGTATAGGGATTTCAGCTAAAACAAGTATTAATAGTAGTTTTGTTTAGGTGTTTATTTAAAGAAAATGAATGCCTATGATCTCTATAGAAAGCATGGCCAAATTCGCTTTATTAACATCTGATCAGTTGAAGTCTACTCGTTCTTTTTGCCCTTTGTACAGGCCAATGTGTCTTAGAAATTCTTGGACCGTTGTGTTGATCAATTCAAATTGTGTTGCATGTAAAGTTTTTTTCATCTTCATGGCTTAATTTTCCCGTATAATTCGAAAGCAGAGCTGGCTTCATTATCTCCTGAGAATTCTGGAATTTTTTCAGCCTAGTAAATCTTTACATCTGTTTGTAGCAACCTTAATGTGTAGAAATCTATGAACATGATTGGTTTGGCAATATGTTTCCCCGGTTTATTTCGAGCAAGACATTCTTCTTATCCTAGATTGCATACTAATTCTTTTATATTCAGCCTGTGGAGAGGGTATTGACAGAAATGTACCATCTGAGGAAGACGTCGATGTGCACAACAATTCCATCGATCCCCACGCCGAAGACCGAGAACTCAAAGGCCAACTTTTGCGGAAATACAGCGGATATCTAGGCAGTCTGAAACAGGAGTTCATGAAAAAGAGGAAGAAAGGGAAGTTGCCTAAGGAAGCAAGGCAACAGCTGCTGGACTGGTGGAGTCGACATTACAAATGGCCTTACCCATCTGTAAGTACACGTTCGGTTATGTTGTCTCTACCGAACTTCATCCCGTTCTCCGTTAACCGAAAACGCCAATTACAGGAGTCGCAAAAGCTTGCCTTGGCCGAGTCGACCGGTCTGGATCAGAAGCAGATAAACAACTGGTTCATCAACCAAAGGAAAAGGCACTGGAAACCATCGGAAGATATGCAGTTTGTGGTAATGGATGCCACGCATCCGCACTATTATATGGACAATGTGTTGGCCAATCCCTTTTCTATGGATCTCTCCCAGATTCTTCTGTGAAAGATAAAAAATACTTGTGTGCCTGTATCGCTGCTGTTTGAAGGCTAATATTTGCATTTATATGCAAAGAAACTGTGATATAATGAATTTGGAGTACAGTTTTATGTCGTATTATCTTATGCTGATGTGCATGCATACGTCTTGCATGCACTTTGACCCTATTTGTTCTATATAATGTGCATTCGTTAAGATTCGACTCTTAGAATCAATGCGTTTGGTCTCTTTTATATAATTTGGACTTTATTTTTCGTTTTTCTGCATTCTGACTACTTCATTTTCGTCGTCAAATCCGTTCCATGTTCATTTCTGTCATCTGAATGTTTGAAAATATAATAGGTTGAATTTCTGTTTGGGTCCTTGGATTGTTAAAGAGTTGGTTAGATTTATAGTGGACTCATAAATATGATGCATTAGGTCATTATCCATTTACCCCATTTTATATTGTAGTGAATTCCTTCTTTATTAAACTACTTTAGTTCTCCTAGTATAGCTTTTGTCGTCTCTCTCTCTATCGTTTCTTCTTCGTCCACGCTCATCAACTGCGGCCACGGCTGCTAATCAGCTCTGGTCACCATGATTGCTTTCTCACATGAATTGTTTACTTCAAAGTTGCCATTGTCATTCTCTCTTTTCCTATTTTATTATATTTTCTTTTTCTTATATAGAAATTTGTTAATTTTATTAAAAATAAAAAATATTTAGAATTATTATAAATCTAATGAAATTTTATGGGTGTTTGGATCAAGGAATGTGGTATATCCATAGGAATGAAATTCATATTTTCATGTTTGATTTGTTGGAATTTTTGTTCCTGATAATGTTTTATTACTGAGAATAATATTATCTTTATTTTCTTGGGTATTATTAGATTATCAACGTTTTGAATTAAAATGGTTTTAATTTTTTTTAAATATTTTTCTTCTGTCATTGAATAATAAAAATTCGATGAAAGTATAAATTTATTTTTAAACTATTTTAGATTTATACAAAAGGTCTATATTTAAAATTTTATATAAAGTTCAGGTATTAAAATAAAATTTTATCATTTCATTAAACTTTTTTATATTTTTAATTTTATAAAAAATAAATAAATTTTATGAATTTAAATTTTTTTTTAAAAAAATATAATATTTTTCAACTTGTTAAAAATTATATATATATATATATATATAATAAGGACAATTTGATTAAATATACATTCTAATAATTTTTTATTCCTTTAAACAAATAAAATAATCTTACATTCATGCTAAACCAACCAAACACAAAATACAATATTTCCATTAATTCTATTATCTGGTAATCTTATATTCCCATTGGTAATCTTATATTCCTAACCCCTAATCTTACATTTCTTGAACCAAACACACAAATTATGAGTATAGTAAGCCTAAATTAAATTACAATTACGATTTTTTTATAAATATTGACAAAAATTAACCACCTATATCATACGAGAATCAAAGAAGAAAAAGTTTAAAAGATCTAATCAAGATGCTCGAACAAAATAAAGATATGAAAAAATCTAACTAAATAAGCAAACGAATCAAAAAAGGAAAAAAACTATTAAATGACCATTGAAAAATTACAAATCAGAGTCAAACGACGTAAGAAAATTATCAACGAAAGCAAAATAAATATCCAAATTAATCCGAATGTCAAAAGCAGGAAATATCAGCATGATAACAACAAGCGTCATCTTGAACAGTAATAACGATGTCAAATATAACTCTAAAAAAAATATAAATAAAATAATGATCAAACGACCAAAATCTACCAAACAATAAAAAAAACGTGTCACAAAATTAAAAATAATCGTTGTTTTAGTTTCTTAAATCCTGAAATTTTAAATCCCTAGTCACAATATTTTTAATTCTTATTTTCCCTACAATGGTTAACACGGGATATTAGGGTTTTCGACGATAATGGTTGAGGATAGTAAAAGGATGGTTGGAGTGATGTAACACTTGGCGGCGAGGAAAGGATTAAGGATTTTAGAAAATGTTAATTATTTAATATTAATTTTAAGTTTTTTGAAAGAATTATAAATCAAACACTTAAAACGTTAAACATTTTTCTTGACAAAAAAATTTAAAACCTAAAACAAAAAAAAGATAAATTTTAAATATTTACTTTTTATTTAATTATATAAATTTTAAATATTTACTTTTTATTTAATTAAACCTATTTGTAAATTTAAGTTCTCTTTTTCTTAGAGTTTCATCCTTCTTATTGAGGTGCACGAACATAAAATTGTTATATTAATATAATATTAAAATTATATTTAAAATTGTAATTTTATCACGGCACTCTATTTATTCTTCTAAATCATTGTTAATGTTTTTAATTTTAAGTATATTATTCTAATAATATATATACATATAAATTTATTTTTGCATATGTTAATAATAATTTTTAAAATAGGTAAAAAGAAACGCGAGGTCTTGAACTTAAAAAAAAAAAAAAGTGGCACTCACCTTATTTTTTGGAATAATGTGACCCTCCAACTCGAAAAAAAAGAACTCAACGTCGCCCTGTAACCAATGTTTTCACTCATTTACCAATTGTTTCGTTAGTTCCTCTGTTTAATGTTATTATAAATTGGATAAATTACATCATACATCATTCATTTATTTTTTCTCTTTTATTTTGATCACTAAACTTTAAAAGTTTTCAATTTAATCACCCAACTTTTGAATTGCAAATATTTTAATCACCATAACTTATTTTATTATTATTTATTTATGATGGAGTATTTATTATTATTTTATTATTATATAATTAAAATAATATTAATTAAATTAAAATTTCAAAATTGTGATTAAATTAATTACCATAATAATTTTGAATCAAATGGAATTTGAACTTCTATGAAAAGCTCATCTTGTTATTCATCATTCTTGGGAAAATCCAGTTCCAAGCCAAGCTCCGTTGTGTCGACCGCCACTAATTGACGTTGATTCTCGCTCATTGACGATAGAGAAGAGAAAGTTTGGCCTTTTCTGATTCTTTTCTTAACCCCAAACTCAAATCTAATCTCAGTTTCCTCTAAAAGGACTCTGACCGAAGTAGATCTAAAGTTGAAATTGAAGGGGAAAACAATCGGTTTAATAAAATAAGAACAATAATTGCCACATCATACATAAATATTAGTAAAATAAGTCATGAATCGGTTTAATAAAATACGAGTAATTTAAAAGTTGAGTGATTAAATTGAAAACTTTTAAAGTTTAGTGACTAAAATGGGAAAGAGAAGATAGTTGAGTAATGAATGGACTAATTTTCTCATTTATAACACCATTAAACAAATGGTCAAAGAGTCACATTGAGTTATTTTTTTTTTGAATCGGAGGGTCACATTAAGAGAAAATAGGAATTAAATGAGTCATTGGTCAACGACGATAAATATTGGTTGAACAACCAGATTAGGTTTTTTCTGAGCTGGAGAGCCACATTGATCCAAAAAAAAAAAAAATAGGATGAGTGACACATTGATACCCCTAAAGTTCATGACTACGCTTGCCTCTTTGCCTTTAAAATATTATTAGTATATTACTTATATTAATAATATATTGAATATAAAATTTAAGTGATGTAATATAAATTACTTTATAATATTTTATTTAAATATTTTAATTTGATATTGAAAATTAAATTTATAAAAAAAATTAAAAAAAATATTTAAAAAAAATATTTTGCCGATCAAAGATTATTATCTCATATTTTTGTCAAATAAGTTAAATGATTTACTATAATATTCTTAAATATTATCTAAAATATATCACACGATAATATATTTTTGGGTAAAGTACACAAATAGTTTCCCAATTATAGACTTGACTATTAAAAGTTACATAATGGTCCTCCAATTACAGGATGTTGCTTTATTAAGTCATTTGACTATTAAAAGTTACAAAATAATAACTTGACTATTCATTGTGATCCAAACTCGTTCTTTCAATTAAAAAATTGGCAGTTGTATAAGCTAAACGTTAACATGATGACTGAGATATGATAGTCGTTTGAGATTCTAAGATTAGATTTTATCATATCACAATCAACATGTTAACGTTCAACTCATAATACAATCAATTTTTTAACGGAAAAGGAGTTTGGAACACAATGAATAGTTAGGTGACCATTTTGTAACTTTTAATAGTCGGTGAACTCAACAAAGCAACAAAATCTAGTCAGAGGACTATTTTGTAACTTTTAATAGTCGAATGATTTCTTTATAGGAACCATTTGTATACTTTATTCTATGTTTTTTAATAGCACTAGGCTTAGGGCTACTATTGCAAATTCGAATATAAAGCCGGTACCGGAGCCTTTTGACGCCAGACAGAATAACGATTATCCTGTAGGCTAGTTCCAACAGATGATTTACAAGAGAAAATTCGCCCAAAAACCAGAGAAAAAAGTCTTTAGAGTTTAATAAAATATTATAAAATTAAAAACCGTGCAAAATCAGTCCACAAGCCGGACTGTTATAGCAAAAAATCTTGTTTATCGGAATTTTACAAAAAATAGCAAAATCCTGAAAATCACTCTAAATTGAAATTCAAAATAAAATAAGCAATATGCAAAAAATATTGCCGAAATCGGATTTAAAATGACTTTCTAATTGACAATCGAAATATTACCATAAATAGTAAAAAAATTTCTAAATCTAGTGATTCGGAGAGGAAAACGACAGAATTTGAGGTCGAAAAAAAGGGCACAGCTCCATGTGGACAGCGTTCGCGTCAAAAAAAGCTTTTCGGATTGGGATCTTATGCGCGATTCTGACATCTGTAGCCAAAGTTATGCCCAAAAGACTGATACACACTTAAAACGGTCCCAATGAGGAACATATCACAATCAATTCCCACCTTTGCGCTGATCTGCCAACTCATGATATCTCAACACCATCAAAGTGCAATCTTACAGTTCATCATCTGTCTCGGTCACCTTTCAAATCATTCATTCCCTAGCACAAACATGGCAAACTGTTTCACTCTTCTCCTTCTCTTCCACCTTCTCGTGAAGAGTTTGACTGCATCTATTGTAGAAGAAAGATCGATATATTTGATTTTAATGGAAGAATCAGCGGCATTTCATGGAAGAAAATTCGATCCCAACAGGTTACAAAACATCTTAGTATAATCTTGGAACACTGATGTTCAAAATTGTAGTTTAACACTTTTTTTGTATCGAAAGATTAGTGAAGCTTCCATGGATCATGCAAAGACGTTGGTCGATTCTCATGATCAAGTTCTTCATAGAACTCTAGATAGGGGAAGCTATAACAAGTTGTACAGCTTCAAACGTTGTTCTTAATGGCTTTGCTGTCCACACAACACCATCCCAGGTTGTTTCCTAGTACTTTGTTTTAGTGTTTTACTCATTGTTTTCGTTCTCTCATACTGTAATTGCCATGAAAATTTGCAGGCCAAGAAACTACAACATGCTCCGGGAGTTGAGTTGGTTGAAGGAGATAGAAGGACCAAAGTGATGACTACTTACAGTCCTCAGTTCTTAAGGTTACCGCAAACCGTGTGGACTCAAGAAGGCGGCAACCGAAACGGAGGAGATGGGATAGTAATCGGTTTCGTCGACACGGGGATTAACTCTTTTCACCCAAGCTTTGCTTATGACATACTCAATCCATTAACGTCCAATATCTCTCATTTTTCTGGTGCGTGTGAGACTGGTCCTCAATTCCCCATCGTTTTCATGCAATGATAAGATAGTTTCCGCCAGGTTTTTCATAGCCGTCGCTTCAGCGCTCGCTCCACTTAATGCTACGATCGATATTCCTTCACTGGCGGATGCAGTAGGCCATGGAAGGTAAGTGTATGAAACAAATAAGGTAACATGTTAACTTTATGATTTATGTATTGTCTTTGTAACGCTGGAGACAATGTGTTCTTCGGATCAGCCACGTAGCATCTACTGCAGCCGGAAACTTCGGGGTCCCTGTGGTGGTTAAAAGCTTCTATTATGGACGAGCCAGTGGGATGGCACCACGAGCAAGGTCCGTTTTTCTGAACTCATTACCATGAGATGATTCTAGTAATGATATTGAATATCGAGTTCTTTTCCTCTTTCGGAAACAGAGTTTCTGTTTATAAGGCTGTCTATCCGACGGTAGGAACACTTGCGGATGTAGTTGCAGCCATTGGTCAAGTAGGACTGAATCTACATCAGTTTCTAATATAACAATGCATTACTTCCATGCAAGTTCCTAATATAATTTGTGACGAGAACACCACAGGCAGTAGCAGATGGAGTGGATATCTTGAATCTGTAGATTGGACCGGATGAACCACCACAAGATTCAGTCACATTCTTGAGCTTTTTCGACTTAGCCATGTTATCCGAACGAAGAGCTGGGGTTTTTGTGGTACAGGCTGCTGGAAATTCAGGTCCTGATCCTTCAACGGTATTGTCTTACAGCCCTTGGAATGTCGGTGCAGCCGCTTTCAGGACGGACCGACGATACATCGGTTCTCTTCTCCTAGGAAATGGTCTAACTATTTCTGGTGCGGGTTATCAGGTAATGCATTCTTCTAAAAACCTTAAAACTGACAGTAACATTTACATATATGTTGTCTTTGGTAGCTCCAACTTTTGGAAATGGAACATTACTGTATAAGCTAGTGCTGGCTAAGGATGCAATCAGTTTAAGTGGGACATTCCCTAGGACTCCGCCGTATGTCGACGAGTGCCAATATCTGGAAGCTTTCGACCCTAACATAGTGAGGGGTAGTATTGTTATATGCACTTTCTCGGCCGGTTTCTATAATGATTCATCCACGTTAACCGTCATCATCAACACCGCGAGAGTTCTCAGATTCATGGGATTCATTCTTGTTGCGAATCTGAGTTATGGTGATTTCATCGGCCAACCAATTCCTTATTCTGTTTCTGGCACTTTGATCACAAAAGTCGCAGATGCAAAGGTAAAACGGGTTTATCATTCCACAACAAGCAAATTTTCCCATTGTCAACAACCAGTTCTAACACAATATTATGTTTGTTTGTAGATTCTATCTCAATATTATGAACAGCAAACATTAAGGGATGCAAGAGGCTTTGTGACAGAGTTCAACGCGCGAGCTGCGATACGAGACATGTAGATTTGCTTCGTTTGGTGGCCAAGCACCCATCGTTAGCAGATTCTCAGCAAGGGGATCCGACTTTATCGACATTGATTGGAACCCTGCCGATGTATTTAAACCCGATATTCTCACCCCGGGACATGAAATATGGGCACCCTGGAGCCCCTTCAGCGTCCTCGATCCACTTCTAACCGGTAACGAACTAAAACGATCATATCAACCTTCTTAATAATTGTTTGGAAATAAAGAGTTGATTATGCTTTGAAGCTATTTATATAAGCTATAATTTCGCTCTGATTTCTGGTTCTAGCATGGCTGCACCTCATATTGCCGGAATTGCAGCACTAATTAAGCAGAAGTATCCTTCCTGGATACCTTCGATGATTGCATCGGCAATGTCAACCACGGCCACCAAGTTTGATAAAAATGGTCGGGTTATAATGGCAGAAGGATTCGAAGTTGGGAGCTCGTATGCCGATAATAATTTTGATTTCGGCACCGGCTTTGTTAATCCAAGTCACGTCATGGATCCAGGTTTGGTCTTATCATCGTAAACCTTCCATCATCAAGCTTGACCAATATATATAACTTAGTTCTTCATAATTGCCGTCATGAAGCAGAATTTGAAGATTATATCAGGTTTGTGTTCAATGCCGAACATTGATCGCTTTGCAATCATAGTTGCCACTGGAGCATGGTGCAGTCAGTCGCTTGGCCACCCAGCTAACTTGAACATACCGCCGGTGACGATATCTGCACTAAGAAGATTGCTGACAGTGAGACGGAGTTTCAAGAATGTAGCAACCAAACCGGAGACTTACATAGGCTTAGCAATACCGCCAAACGGAACAACAATTACCTTGCATCCACCTTGGTTTACTATATCCCCAGATGGAACCCAAGATTTGGACATAGAAATAACTGTGACTCAATCGACCAATGTGTTCGGCTTCGGGGAAATTATTTTAACAGGAATTTTAAATCACATCATGAGAATGCCGGTATCAATTAGGCTGATTACGACTGTCTAATCGATACTCAGACAATACTAAACATGAAAACATGACAGCAAGACGAATGTTATGTACTCTGAATGAACTACAGAAAATTTCATTTTTCTTATTGTGGAGATGCAAACCGTGAATGTGCATCATGATGTCCAATAATACAACTATGTATTTGCATGTGTGAAATAATTGCAGAACCTTTTCTTTTTCCATTTCTTGATTTTGATTCTCTTGTGGATCTTTTTCGCTTCAACTTGTCTGCTCTTTTTGTCATCTTGAGCCTAAGGATGTTTGCTCCCAAGGTGTCGGTTCAAACTTCCGGTTTCAGCCCGACACTCAAAATGACAAGTCGACAATCTCATGATCTGGAGTTTTGTACCCAAAGCCCGAGTCATCGCTCGACCGCCTTTTGACAACGCTTGCCCTTTGCACTAACCTCACTAAAGCTTGCACAACCTCGGACATGGGGGGGCGAAACTCCGGTTCCGGCTGCATAGAAGAAAATTTCATAATTGGCAAATTTTCTTTTCTTTTACTCTACAAAACCACTCATGCTAAAATATTCCAGATTGTCCAAAGTATTCGTAAATAGCTTTACCTGAACGCAGAGAGCAATGATATCGGCAAAGCGTGACAGAGATTTCGCACGGTACATGCCATTGAGTGCAGGATCTACCATTTTTGCAAGGGCATCTATATCGTGTAGTTGAGGCGTGGCCCATCGGACGAGTGATTGCTCGTATCTCGCCCTTGAACTAAAAAATGCAAAATACAGTCATACATCATAACAAAACTATGCTTGGGACAGATAGACAAAGCATGTAACAATGCCAACTTCTAGAGATAATAATCTACTGGTTGGAAACCGGAAATGGGTTTTTACCTGTCGAGTGGTTTCCGACCAGTCAGTAGCTCCAACATCACCACCCCAAAACTGTATACATCACTCTTTACAGTATATACTCCGGACAGCGCAAACTCGGGAGCACTATAACCAAATGAACCAACCATCTGTGTTGAAACCTGCACAATATTAAATTGAACCAAAAAAAATAGTTAAGAGCTAGAATTAAACTTCTATTCACAGACAGCGAGAGGGACTTTGTTTCTTACCTGTCGTTCGGTATTCGGTGTAAGAGCAGCCAAACCGCAGTCTGACAAGTGAGGATTGAGCTCTTCATCAAGTAAGATGCTTGCGGACTTGAAATTTCTATGTACAACCGACGGCAAGAAGACTTCGTGCAAGTATCTGACAATAACAGCTTCATCAGAAAGGAAGATATGCAACCAAGCAGACAAGTACACGCAACACGTATGAGATAGACTCGAGAAAACAATACACATATAACATACTCTAATGCTCGGGCAGTGCCGAGTGCCACTCTAACACGTGCATTCCAGCTTAGATTCCTACTACCATCGTCAGAAAAGTGCAGCATATCATGAAGACTATTGGTTCCTATATATTCATATACCAGAAGACGCTGTCCATGCTCTGCGCAGAATCCAACCAATGTAACGATATTGGGATTCCTCAACCGGGACATACTGGAAACAGCTTCCAGAAAATTGTCTTCCTCTTGTAATGATAATGCCGCATTGTCAATTTTTTTAATAGCCATTGTCTAGATCGAACAAGATTAAAAGAGTAAGTGATCATTCTGAAAATTTTTGCATTATGTCGCAAGTTATCTGGCATGGGTTCTTTTACTTGAGAGAACTTCAATATTAAACATTTATTCTAGTTACCTTTCCGTTCAGAAACTCGGCCTTGTAAACACGACCCAGTGACCCTTCACCGATGAGATATTCTTGACTAAAACTATTAGTTGCTGTTTGTAAAGAAGCGACCGTATATGATGTAGCAGTGATGGGTGACTTCATTCTATTTAAAGACCCGTTTTTGGATATCCTTTCAACCGCAACTGGTTCTGCAGGTAGGGGTTTCAAATCTACGACGGCAGCGACATTTTTCACCCTCTGCTCTTGCATCTCAGTATGTACTGCAAAAAAAGAAGCTACCCCTTGGTTACTCGAGTCGAATAATTAGAAATAGATTCAATTCCTAATGAATATAGCTCCACTTCACATTTTCAAAGAGGATTATGCAATCAAATGTTGTAACAAAAGAAATCAATTTTCTTAAGTACTGCCAGAAAACAGAAAAACGAAGCCGAAAACCTACCGTTACCGGTGCAACTGAAAGATTTTCCCTTGAAGGTCTTGCACCGTTCACCTTTCCTTTGTTTCTGCGGATGCAGAAAACAAGAGCAAGTACTGCAAGGACAAGCAGTAACAAAGAGCCAAGAACTATGCCTACAATAATTCCAGCTGATAGTCCGTTATCAGAATCTGATGATTGACCATCAGAAGCCGGGGATGAACGAGCTCCAGATTGAGGATTACGTTTATTATGAGATCCACCATATGGTGAAGGAGGTGCAGGCTCGTCGGCAAAGGAGTTGCCATTGTATCTGTCTCGGTTTTTTTTAACAACAAATTTCAAATTTTGCACAAACTAGATTCAGAAAGCAATACTATATTGAGCCTTACATAAAAGTTGGGACTGAGAAAAGCTCGCGAGGAATCCATCCACTGAAATTGTTCTTTGCAACATTTCTGTAAAGAATCGAGGGTGCATAAGAACAGACCGAAAGAGAGTAAAAATCCAAGTGCGGTATGAGAAAAGTAACTTACAGAGTCGTCAAAGGTAAACCCGAAAGAACATTAAGCGAACCGGTCAATTGATTGTTCTGCAAATATCTGCCACAAATTCGGACAATTAATACCACTTGATCAAGAAGCTGCACGAATATCACTCGTTTTCCCTTTCATTTTTGCTCTTAATGATGTAACACTTGCAGTGTAGAAAGATTGCTCAATGAGCTAAATGACATAGGAAGATCCCCACTAAAATTGTTGAAGGAAAGATCCCTGCATTAACAAGGTATCCGAATTTACACCCGTCGGAAAAATATGCGGAATACTAATGCAACAAAGAATAACTTCGATACAATAATCATATAAAGTTAAGTTCACTTACAAGGTCCCAGGTCTGGAAAGATTAGCAAAAACGTCTTCGACAGACAGGGAAAGCGAATTACGGCTTACATTCCTATAACCAAAGATTTAGAATTAGGTAATGAAAGAAAGTTCCGATTTTCTACTCTATTATGTGGTGAGTAAACAAAACATCATAGCATTCGAGACATGTTACTTACAGGTAAGTAACACTAATCATACTAGAAATGGAATACGGAAGATTCCCACTGAAGTTGTTACCTGCAAGATTCCTGCGTCATCATGCAATAAATAAGCTCCTAAGATCAAGCAATTAAAAGAATGAAAACAACCATGAATCAGAGTCGTTACAGGCTCGTAAGATTCGGCGGCAACTGGTATGGGATCGTATCATGCATGTTGTTGTTACTCAAATCACTAACATAATACCAAAAATAGCCAATGAACTAATTAGCTGATCTATAAAGAGTTACAATCTGAATGAGAGATTAATGGAGATCGATGTCGGAGCAATGGAGTAATCTTACAGTGTTTTCAATGACATAAGATTGGTGAGTAAGTATCCCATGGTTCCAGAAAGTCCTAACCCAGAAATATCACTGTTATAAACAACAAGAAACACTCGTTAACCGAAACATAAACGGATCAAAACCACAAATTTCCAAAAAGATAAGTAGCTATATTCGAACATATATAAAATATCATACATGGAAACGACGGCCGAGCCCTCACAGGTAACCCCTTTCCATGATTCTCCACATGGATCACCACCACTAGTTTTCCAATTTGTTAACTTTGACGGACTGTTCAATGAAGTGTACATAACCTGAAGCGATTGAACTGTCCAAAAGAATCAAAGGAAACAACTTCATAAGACACATCCAGGTTCCAAACATTAATAAATCAAATAAATATTAGATTGAATTAATTGGTTAAACCCTCCATTCAATGATCCCCTAGGAATAGAAGCAAATAGATTTTCCCTTAATTTTACTGACATTTATTTTCTGGAGAAACAAACAACACAGCATAAAAGATTCAAACTTTCCGAGCAAAAGAAAATGCAGAATAGTCAAAGATCATATCATCACTAATCAAACAACCCTAAACCACATCAAACAACCAAATCAGCAATGCTAAACAATTAGAAAAGAAAAAAAACCCTAAAAGGAAATCAAAATGGAAAACAAGAAATACCATCTGCAGGATCTGTGGTGCATTGAGCTGGAGTAGAACCAAAGATCAAACCGAGTAAGACTAACTCATTGAGCAGCAAACGAGCCATAGAAAGAGACAAAGGCATGTTACAGTAACCCATTGCTAGCTCTTTTTGTTACTACTTTTTTGGAGTTCTTTTAGTCTTGTAGTAGTCGTTGTTGCAGGTGATTTTGGGATCAGCTGAGGTGAAGCACATGATAGACAACCATAGAAATAGGCACTCAAAGCACAACTGGAGAAGATGAAGAACAAGGAAGAAAATAGGGGAGCAGCAATAGTCGTTAGGAGACTCAGTGATTCAAGACATCGCCATTAAAGCAAAAGAAAGAAAGAGAAAGAGATCCGAATGGCAGCAGCCTAGTAATGAAGAGACTGTGTGTGTGTGATTTTATTACAAGGGTGTCGGTCAAAAATGGCACAAGAAGAGTGGGCAGTAAAATTTGGAGGAAAAATCAATACTTTCTAAATATAATATAATAATAATAAACAAACACATACAAAAATGGTTGGGTTCAGACCTCAGACAGAGTATGCAAGAAAGGTATCGACATTTTTCCCATTTGTCCCAGGTTCCTTTCACTGTCAAATTCTACCTTCGATCCTCTGCTTTTTGTTCTTTAACTTTAAAAGACCGGCTTTCAACACGGTTCAATGTTGGGAATTGGAATCAAGGAAAATCCTTTTCTTTTTTTCAAACTGCTTTCATATATGACGTTTTAACCCAAAAATCACTTAGGTGGCGTTTGGTTCACTGTAATGTTTATAAGGGAATTGTAACCTGTGAAGGAATTGAAATCTTTCAGGAATTGAAATCCAATTTCATATACTGTTTGGTTGGCAGGAAATTGAATTAGAATCCAATTTCATATTCAGTTTGGTTCGCATACATATTAGATGTATTTGATTTCAGTAATGTAAAATGACAGAATTACCCTTCTTCTTTTTTTATTTTATTTTAGCTTGTTTTACAACTTACATGTAGTAATATATTATAAAAAATTAAAAAATATTAAATTTTCATTTTATTGATTGATTATTCATTTCAATAAATTATAAAAATCATGTTAATAAACATCATAAGTTAAAATCATCGCAATTAAAATATATTAATAAGTTACTAAAAGTTAGAATAATATTTCGATACATTCCAATCGGAGTATATTAATTAGTTACCAAAAAATATTTTTATTCAATATATGAATTAGAAACCCGACCCGACACGACTCAAAATAATAAAAAATTATTTTTATTCAATAAAAACATTGACTTAATTGAAAAAAAAATTATATATAGAGGGGTATTATTGTAATTATTCCTAAATATATAAGGTAAAATTATATTTTTTTTCGGGTCGGTCCGATTTTTTTCACCCTAAACCCGACCCGACTCGACCCGAATATCACACTTAAAAAACCTGACTCGACCTGAACAAAATAAAGTTTCACCCGACCCGAACCGAATATATGAATTATAAATCCGACCCGACCCGAAATAATAAAAAATTATTTTTATTCAATAAAAGCAATGACTTAATTGAAAATATATATATAGAGAGGGGTATTATTGTAATTATTCCTAAATATATAAGGTAAAGTTATATATATTTTCTGGTCGGATATTTTTCACCCTAAACTCGAGCTCGACCCGACCCGAATATCACACTTAAAAAAACCGACCCGACCAAAATAAAGTTTCACCCGACCCGACCCGACCCGAATATATGAATTAGAAACCCGACCCGACTCGAAATAATAAACAAATATTTTTTATTCAATATATGAATAAGTTACCAAAAGATTGATGTGGGTAGTATGGTCAAATTTCAATTCCCTCCAACAAGGGAATTGAATTCCATCCATTTTTGGATGGAATTCACTTTTCCTCATTTGATGGAAAGTTGAAGCCATAAGGGATTCCAATTCCCTTGGAAAACTTGAACCAAACATGAGAAAGTGGTGGAATTGGATTCCAATTCCCCTAAATTCCAATGAATTCCATCCAACCAAACGCCACCTTAAAGAATCAATAATTATAATTACCTGTCAGGCTCTTATTGATTAAACTTTACCTATTTAACACTCATTTAGTGACATGAACGTAAGGTATAATTCATTTGAGTTTTCGCCCGAACTGAGCCACACGATTAAAGTGCGGATATCCATTTGCATCTTTCCTAGGTTTTTCGTTCGAGCTGGTGTCACGTGACAAAAACGCGGGTTACCATTCACACACATTCCTGGGGAACCTGACATACGACGGAAGGCGCGGATGGTAATTCACCTTGAATTATTGGGTAATTCATTTTTACTCGAGGTTCAGAGGCTCACCCTTCCCTCTCCCCTTCCCCTATAAATACCCCCGAATGTAAATATCAAACCACACCAAAATTACTTTCACATTATTCCTTCTATTAATTCTTTCTATTAAGTTAAGTAGATTTGTTATAGTTCTTAAAAGTAAAATTATTTTATATTTAATTATTTGACCAAATTTTGTGTTATTTGAGCATCACTAAATAATGAGCTAAAGTGAAAATTAAGTAAAATCATTACAAACTAAATAATAAAAAAAATAAAAATAATTAAATACAAACATTAAATACAAACGATACAATTCAAACAATTAAATAATAAAAATATTAACAAACAAAATAAATGAAAAGTCCATAATTAAATAAAAACATTACATTTGCTAATAAATAAAGGAAATTAAATAAAAACATTAGAAACTAAGAAAGTCTATCAATGTCTGCGTCTTGAATGTGTTTCAAAGGGCGGTGGTTGTCTATTTCGATAAGGGTTTCTTCTTATAAGTTGTTTTTCCTCCTCACTCTCATCGTCGTCGTCATCAGTAGTAGCAGCTACATTTTGCTTATGATGGACAAATGACGATGTAACACTTCCATAGAATAAAGACCCTAGAGGTGTATGACTAACCATCCTACCGCTCATAGAAAACTGTGAAAACTGCGAAAACATCGACGACTGCGAAAATTATGCCTAAGGTGTTTGAGTTTGTGGTAAAGCATCACCCACCAAATAAGTAGCTTATGAAGCCCATGCTGGATCTAAAAGCATGGAACTATAATATCCGCCAGGATGTGTCATAAAATCCTGCGACAGTGGCATCTGAAACATTTACGGTACTATCTAAAACAGTTGCATCCCCGTCTAAAACGGCTACAGAATGTAAATCGATGTAGACGATGGCTGCTGTGATGGTTCTGGCGCTACAGTTAAGGATGAACCGGAAGCGCCAGCTCTCTATCCACGATAATGTTGTAACGATGGACGCTTTTCTCGACACTGATGAATGATGTCACCTCGTGATTTCTCGAAAAGTAGGAACAACTTCCTATTTGTGTTAAACCACTGATAATAGTCATCCGCAACTACATACAATGAACTTGGTTGCGAGATTTATTGGACATTAAGATCCCTCTTATGAGTTGTAATATGCAAGCCCGAAATTAGGCAGAATACCTCCAAGATATTCCTTGCACAAGGAATGCCAATCACCATCCACCACAACAGAAATGACATCCCCATCTACCGAAAACTCCAAATGTAAAGAAACATCCTCCAGCGTAATAGTGCACTCCCTACACGGTATATGAAATGTGTGTGTCTCTGGTCTTTACCTCTCAACCAGTGCAGAAATAAGGTTGGATTCAAGGTTACAATGCCCTTCATATCTAGCTATGCAATAGAATCCAGCCTCGACTAAATATGGCCAGACACAATTCAATATCTCTAACTTAAGTTACGAATAAATGGATATAATATACAGTCATTCTCCTAATTAAATAAATATTATACAAATTAAAATATAAACTAATACTAAAAAAATAAAGAAATAAAACATTCACAATAATTAACATAACACAACTTAAAATTGTTGTCGTGTTGACAAAATGACTCGAAATACGATTTCTATTTAAATTTAGCAATCCGTCTTCCATTTTATAACTATAAAATATAAAAAAATCAATACAGTAAATATAATAAAATAATAAATTATTTAATGATTATAATATAATAAAAAACTTACATTCTAAAAACAATAACAAAATCCGCTTGAAGTTTGTTAGAAAAAATGATATATGGAAGAAGGAGAATAGTTTTTTGGTGTGGTTTGAGAGTTATATGAGGGGATATTTATTGGGGGAGGAGTAGGTGGTAATTATGGGGGAGCGACAGACGGTTGGAGATATTTATGGAACATGCCTTCCGCCGCGTGTCAAGTTTTCCACGAAAGCGTAGATGGTAAATCATGTTTTTGCTGCGTGACGCTAACTCGGATGAAAACCCAGAGAAAGCACGTTTGATGATCCGCACCTTCCATCAATAAAATTTAATCAATGAATATATGATAGGTAATTATTTTTGTTACTTGGTGAAATTCCAATTGTTTTATTCGCGAAACTCGTCATGAGTGTCATATGCTGGACCCATTTACCTTCATTTTCATAGCAGGTAGCTATGGAATCCAATAAAAGTTACCTTCCAATTTAATTTTAATTTTCATAAAATAATAGTATGATAAGATACAACCATAAACTTCAAACATAAGATGACAAGAAATATACGAGAACGAAGCGACCTCAATAGTTAAAAGGATAATTGGTATTCTTAGAGGTTTCGAATTTGAACATCAATAATTATATAGTATGTCAATATTTATCGTCAAATGATTGAAACTCAAAACAGATACTACCACTCCTAGTTTGTATTCAAATTTAAAAAGAAAATGAAGAAATGTGAAGAATGAGATGATGGATGTTGAAAGTGAAAAGTGATTGGTTTGATGTTAGAAATGAACAATGTGAATGTACAGTGATGTTCCAATTTTAGGGCATGGAAAGATACATGAGGCAGGAGGGACCATAACAGGGGGACAATAGGTGAGAAAAAGACCAATGGAAGTAGCCTGCCTCCCACTCCCACCACCACCACCACTACCACCACCGCGGTCACCACTCACCACCACCCAAGCATATTGAGACTTTGCTATTCTCTTGAAAATGACTAAAATGTCTTTTTTGTGAATTCATATAATCTTCTAAGGTTATTCTAAAAGAATCAAATTCGGGTTGAGTTGGGTGTTTTAAAAGATAAAGTCGGATCAGATTCGAGTTTAAAGTGAAAAATACTTGACCCGATAATATTAGTATAATTGAACTTTATATGTTTAGAGATAATTCCTATACTTCTTATTTATCTATATTTTTCAATTAGGTCCCTATTTTACCTAATAAAAATAAAAATTATATATATTTGTGTCAGGTTATGTTGAGTACATATTTTTATTTTAAAAGTTATGTTGAATTTCGAGTTAGATGAATCTTCCCTAAATCAGGATTAAATCAGGTGTCGCGTGAAAAAATAAGATGAAGGTGAAGATTGGAAAAAAAAGAAGATTATACTATTTGAATTGTGTTTTTAAAGAGAGTTATATTATTTTTTTATTTTCCCTTATAACTTGTATGAAAAATATACATCATTAAAATGTAATTTTATCATGTATCATTCAATAAGTTAACGTCTAACTCAAATGACCATCAATTATTTAACGAAAAAGAACGAGTTTGGAACATATGAATACTCAAGTGACATTTTATAACTTTAATAGTTGATTGACTCAACAAAGTAGCGCCCTAGAGTCCGGAGATCATATGTGTACTTTTACATTTATTTATAATATCACGATATCAATTAGTTCTGATTTAAATGTCTGTCTCTAACTAGATAAAATACGCATATATATTTAATATTCTTTTTCGAAATGTCTAGTTAAGATTTATAATAAAATTTAATAAATCAAATACCATGGCATGATAAGTCAGTAATGACCTGAGTATTCGATTCTACGATGACATTTGGGTTCCTCATCTCGGACCCCTTCGTCCTCATGCTCTTGATCCCAGGAACATTGATGAAAATATTAACATCTCTGATCTTGTCATTGTTGATAGTTCGTGGAACTTGGAAGCTCTTGAATGTTTGTTGTCGCCTGCTGTACTTCCTTGCATTATAAGTATTCGTCCTCCATCAATTTCTGATGTGGTTGATTCTTGCATATGGAGGTAGGGTCCGAAGAATCAATTTACTACCAACTCAATTTACTGTTCCCTAATCGATCATGTTTGGGACGAGCGATCTCCGGCTAAACTCTCGAGATAACGTTCTCCCAAGATTAATTGCTCAAATAGGGTGAAATCTACAGTGTTGGCCGTAGGTCGCCATGCCATCCGGGCGACCTACTAGGTCGCCATGTCTTCCCGGCGAGCTATGAGAGAGATTGCATATGCCATGCACGTTCCAACACGCTGGGCATCCGAGGCCATCCGACCGAGGCTATCCGAGCGAGCTATGCGAGGGCATCCGAGGGCAAGAGGAATCACGCGAGGAGCAGGAGAGAGTGCATGGCGACCTACAAGCGCATGGTGACCTATGCTTGGGGGCGTGCATGGCTGGCCACGTAGTAGGTCACCCGGAAGGCATGTCGACCTACGATCAACACTGTAGATTTTATCTTATTTGAGCAATTAATCTTGAGAGAGCATTATCTCGTGAAATAATTTATTCGAAAACGTTATGTCGAGAGTTTAGCCAGCGATCTTCTATCTGAAAATCTTTTTGGAGATTACAAGTTCTGCAGCGTATCCAACTCTTTCTTTGGACAACCTTCCGCCACAAGTTGATGACAAACCTTGAACGCTCTAAACGCTCTTTCATCGATGACCCCCTCTTGCAAGGCTTGCTCTATCTCTGTGGAATCTGCAATTCATGGGCTTCGTGACAGTCTGCAGTAGGGATGGTCATGGGATCTGAACCCGACCCGACCCGAGCGGTTTCTTAAAAAATTTCGGGTCCGGGTCAGGTTTTAAAAGGCGATATTCGGGTCGGATTCGAATTTTATGGTGAAAATACCCGATCCGACCCGACCCAACCCAAAAAATTATAATTTTACCTTATATATTTAGGAATAATTATAATAATACATCTCTATATATTATTTTTTTCAATTAAATCACTGTTTTTATTGAATAAAAATAATATTTTTATTATTATTATTTCGGGTCAGGTAGGGCCGAATTCGGATTTTATCTCAAAAAGTCGGGTCGGGTGGAGGGTATATATTTTCGGGTCGGATATTTTCATCATTCACCCGACCCTACCCGAAAATATATACCCTTCACTTGACCTGAACCCAACTGACTTTTTGAGATAAAATTCAAACCTCACCCGACCCGAAATTAATTTTTTTTAATTCAATAAAAATAGTGATTTAATTGAAAAAATAATATATAGATGTGTATTATTGTAATTATTTCTAAATATATAAGGTAAAACTATATTTTTTTTGGGTCAGGTATTTTCACCCTAAATCCGAATCCGACCCGAACATCATCTTTAAAAAAATCCAACTTGACCTGATCAGGTCGGGTTGGATAGAAACCCATCGAGTCCGAGTCCCATGCCTATCCCTACTTACATCGGCAGAAGTAATGTCAAATACAAGTACCAATCCTAGAATTCAAATTCTTTAGGTTAATTATTTATTTAATGGTGTTGAGCTAAAATTTTATTTATATTATCTTGTACAAAAACGAAGAATCCAAGTTGTGGTCAAATTGTGTGCACTTTGTGTGTGTCATTTTCCTGAATTGTAAGTAAGATACATGGGATTACAAGAAGACTCACATGAGGGGCATATTATTGTATAAGGTAGACAAAATATAACCCTTATGTGGTTTTTTTTTGGTTTATTCATTTTATTTCCTATTTTAAAGTAGGGATAGGTATTCAATCGAGTTGATGTTAAAAAATTTCGATACTGATTTTGCATTGTTGCTTCTCACATGGTTGAAGGGCTTCGGTTTCGCCTCGGTCGTTCGAATTCAATAGCATTTGAGGCCTTCCCGGAGGTAAAGTATCTCAGCAGAGAACCGATTAAAAAAAATCTTTATTATCAGAAAGATCTTAAATGTTTTCTTGGATCGTCAAAACATCAAGGCAAGTCGCGTTCAGTAATACTCATGTAGCCGGTATTTATATACACGCCTAGTGACGGAACTTGGTGGCATTGGTTGAGCAACTTGACTTGATTCTGGATCCACTCATTTCACATTTGGATGTTTTGATTTAAAGACTCTTAACCAATTGATAATAAACATTCGTATTTATGTCGATGCTCGAACCTGGACGGATAAATTGAACTCGAATTCAAGTTAACTATATTTGAACCCGATTAACTTACCTTAAAAGGAAAATGGGCTATCAGGAGCCCAACATCCTTTAATGGCGGTGGACGGTGGTCGATGGGTCAAGTGGGAAAACGAAAACAACAAAAACCAACCCCAAATCGACAATTTCGCTATTGACGTGGCGGATACAACCAATCGCCTCGACCCAGCATAGTAACCTACGCAATGATTCTTAAAATCTTTGAATGCTCCGTCCCTTTCTATTCATGTCCCGAAATGAAATTGAAAGCCCTTCAATGTAAACACGTTCTCTTCTCTTTCTTTATTCTTCTTATTGCTTGTTGATCGATGATTTGATTATTATACAAGAAGTTATAATATTTATGAAGAATTGGAAGATGATAGAAGCTTGCTTTTAAGTTATGAAGTGATTGATTGCCCCAAAAAAATCATGAAGAAGAAAGCCGCAGCCGCCGCTCCGGTACCAGTCCGCCACGTTATCTGGTTAGGCTGGAAACTCGTCGTCGTCTTCTCTTTTGCCCTTTTCTTCTATGCTCTCATCCGCCTCCATTTCTCCGCGGAAATCTCTTCTCCCACTAAGTATCTCTCGCGCGCGCGTTTGAGATCTCGTATTCCTCGCTATAACAACATCAACGGCACCCCTAAGATCGCTTTCCTCTTCCTTTCCCGCTTCAATCTCCCTCTCGATTTTCTCTGGGGCGGCTTCTTTGAGGTCCGTAACAAAAACCCATCTTTCCTTTTTCCTCCACTTTCACCAAAATTTAACCTTTTTTTGTATGGGAATTTGTTACAGAACGCTGACAGGGCCAACTTCTCCATTTACATTCACTCCGCCCCTGGCTTCGTCTTCGACGAGTCGACTTCTCGGTCGCATTTCTTCTACAATCGGCAATTGACTGATAGCATTCAGGTGGTTTACTAGTCAAAAGATTTCAACTTTTTTTAGCAGTTGGATTCATGGATCACGTCATCTTCGTTGCAGGTTGCTTGGGGAGAATCGAGTATGATAGAAGCCGAACGGTTGTTGCTTGCAAATGCTCTAGATGATCCTACAAATCAGAGATTTGTTCTTCTGTCTGACAGGTCTGTACTTTTTAACTAATTTACCTTATGGCAGTTGATGGTAGGCCCAAGATTTTATGTTAGAGGATTAATTTATAAAATTTAAGCCTTAAGGGTGCGAACCTATAAATTCTAAAGTCGAAACGGATTATCAATAATAAAAAAATACCAACAACGTATATGGATTTAAGGACCATCCTTGTTGATGGGTGCTTTTTTGTTTATATTATAATTAATGAAATGAAGGTTTTGTTTTTAATAGAAAGTTGTGTTATATTTGTGCAGTTGTGTACCTCTATACAACTTCAGCTATATCTATAGATACCTTATGGCTTCTCCTAGGAGTTTCGTGGACAGGTAGATGGCGGGCCTTTTTCATTCTTGAGGTGCCAAGCATTGATTGATTTATTCATTTTTCCTGTTGTACTTTTATGCATCGGGGGGGGGGGGGGGGAATTGTATGATCTTTGAACAAGTTCTTGTTTTGATTTCAAGAAATGAAAAATCTTGTTTTGCAGCTTTCTCGATTCGAAGGATGGGCGTTACCACCCTAAAATGTTTCCTGTTATACCAAGGAACAAGTGGAGAAAAGGATCTCAGGTTATTTTTTCGGAAATTTTGATGATTTGATCTGAGACTTTTGAATTCGAATAACTTCATAATTAGGTTCGATAGAGATTGTTTCGAATTTTTCCCCATTTTCCCATTATTCATCATTGTGCATTTATATGATTTCAGTATACATTTGTTGTAACGATGGAATTTAACTTGCCTTGTATTTGCAGTGGATCTCTTTGATAAGGAGCCATGCCGAAGTCGTCGTAGATGACGAGGTTGTTCTTCCGGTCTTTAAGAAATTCTGCAAGGTATGCTGTTGAAGTGTTCATTATAGTATGTTATGTGTTTATTTTCGATCAATTTTCTCTTCTCATTATCGAAAAATAGTCCTATCAACAAATTATGTCTTTTTAGAGACATTTTCCCCTTCTTTGGCATGTTGCTAGGATAAGATATTGGATCATATGGAACGGCAATCTGAAACTTAAATTTGCTTCTTGATTTGCAGCGACGGCCTCCTGTGGACACCAGTAAAGGACGGCTGAATATTGTAAGAGTTCAATTCCCAAAATGAATGCAACGAGGCTGATTAATTGGAACCTCCTATCAGTTTTGATAGTTGATTCAGGGGCTAGAATATTGATTTAGTAGTGAGATCTGATTCCCATAGGTGTCATTTTCTCGTGTTTCGTAAATGCACTCAAGTTTAGTGTTTCAGATATTGTGACCGAGAATTTAATTCCTTCAAAGTGATAGGTGACTTACATTTGACTGTGCAGAAACTTCAAAAACAGCATAATTGTATCCCAGATGAACATTACGTGCCAACATTGTTCGCGGTAAGTAAAGAATCGGTATATCCCATTCCCACATGTTCTCTTTTCCGAACTACCTTCTGGTATTTTTCTTAGCTTTTTGATGGTTTTCCTCTAGCCATATTCTTGATAAGTAAAATTAGTCTCTTCGGTTTTGTAGTTAATACATGATTTTTCTGATTGTGTTTCCTTTGAAATTACATTTCTAAGTAGTCCTAGTTTTCATTTTACTCATCAGATGAGTGGTCTCGAAGGTGAGATAGAACGAAGATCACTGACCTATACCTTGTGGAACCAGTCGGTTACGAAAATGGATAACAAAGCTTGGCATCCTGTTACATTCAACTATGCAGATGTTAGTCCTAAACGACTCAAAGAAATAAAGGTTATCATTTTGCCTCATTTTATTTATTAGTCGGATATTTTTTTTCGTATGTGTTCTACTTTATGAACTTGTTTTTTGATAGTCTTATTCTGATCTTTATGTTGCTCAGTTTTGCATAGTTCTTTATTGATCTTAATTGACATATTTTCATGGTCTATTATTCTGCACTTTGTACCTCATCAATTCCAACTACGTGACTATTCGAACAGGACATCAACCATATATACTACGAGAGTGAATCCCGGACAGAGTGGTGTCGAGTTAACTCTACATCTGTTCCTTGCTTTTTATTCGCCAGGAAGTTCTCAAGAGGAGCCGCCATGCGCCTTTTGAGTGAAGGGGTGGTTGCTCCCTTTGATGCCTCGTCGTTATTAGGCAGTTCGTCTTGATTGCTGATCACAATATATAAAAACCGCCTAACACTCAGCTGATCCGCCTGTAAAGAACAATTAGGGTGACAAGCAGATTGCCTGCTAAAGTTTTGCCTGATATACAACACTACTGTATACGCAGAAATAGTTATTTAGATTCAAAACAGATTCGGGAGGCAGATAGAAGATTTGGAAGATCAAACATAGTGCAGGAGTTGGATACCCCATTGACATTGGTGTTAGCTGTCTGTCTGATTGGTCATATATGTTTTACTGGCTGGGAAAAGTTTGACATTTTCATTACATTCTGTATGGTTATTTAGTGTAACAACTCCATAATTACAATAATTATCATAGATATTACAATGATCATAGTTACTTCTCATAACAGAGTTGACAGTGTAGCATCTAGTTCATGTTTTGGATGAGCATTTTGACCGGAGAAAAATGTGGTAACCATACCGTGCAGGTTGATAAAACTCCACCCGGGGGAGTCTTCTCAAGCCTAGAGACCTCATTCAGATGAGCCTAACAGAGAAGTGCAGGCTTTGAGTAGGCTGGGGAATGTGTAGGAATCTGTGTGTTGGATTTGAGCTTGGGTGTGCAGGTGAAGAGTACTTCATTGTGGGATCCTTGTTAGGAGAAACTGATTTAATGAAAGACTATCAAACCCGTGTACTAGAGGCTAATTTTCCAATAGAACCGTAAGAATTGAATTTTGGATCAAACAATTACAATTTTATTACCATTATTTAGATGGAATAAAAAAGTTCAATGGATTCTAATATCAGTCAGTGTATTCTTTCTCCCGGATCGAACCACATCAACCCGGCATAACAAAATAACAACTCGATTTGTTTAACAATGAAGCGTTTCATTTCTTCTTCGGATATTCCCTTGCCCCAAAGATGGTTGAACCAACTCTGACATTGGCACTGCCCATTTCAATCTGCAGAAACAATGAGACAATCCATTAGACGGTCGTTATCCCGTAAGCTTTAAAAGAACCTTCGACAAATATCATGGTTTTGCACAGTATGTGGGAAGAGCACATACATTGCACAACAATGTTTTAGTACTAAAGTGTAGATAAAGCCAATTGCATACAAATCTAATGTTTTTCCTTTTCTAGATGGTAATGGGAAAATAATCCTTACAGCTAGCTCAAAGTCGCCAGACATTCCCATTGACAGTTCACATTGTTCTTCTGGTATTCCAAGAGCCTTGCAGACTTCACTTCGGCAATTTGCTAATGTCTGGGTATCAAATAAATATTGTTAGAAAAATAAAGAATCTATTGAAAAGGACGGATAAACCAAGATATGAAGTTCAGCCACCTTAAAATTCTCCGGTGTTGATGTATAATCAGGCATCCCGATTGTCATCAATCCACAAAATAGAAGATTCGGGCAATTCAGACTAATATGTTTTGCAAGTTCCAAACAACCTGAAGGCTCAACACCAGATTTTGCTGCAGTAACATGATGCAGGAAATATATGAAAACGACCTCCAAGTGATTGATAAAGCAGCTTATTTGTCAGCAAATATACTTGACCTAATCTAAGTATCTAACTACGTACTTAGCCCCAATGAACTAGGTTGTTCTATTTCCAACAGCCATGTTGATAGAGCATAGTACGTAACTGGAAGCTAAAGAAACAAGACCAATTTTATCTAGCAAACTTAAAGACAGTCATGATAACAAGCTTGGACGTGCAAAGTCTTGACACAACTCAACGAAAACCAATATATTTTCGTGGTAATACAAAAAAATATACTTACATTCCTCTCCACTGGTGTTCACCTGGACTAAGACTTTCAAAGGCTTTCTTTCAAAGTTTCCAACTGCACGATTAAGATGATTTGCAATCTGGCCCAAAATAAGGAAAAGATGCTCAGTTTAATAAGGAAAAAAATACAAATACTTGGCCACAGTATGAATGCTGTTCTTGACACTATCAATCAAAAGCTTTGACATGATGATTAATGATATAAGAAAACAAAATCATATCAGTCATTCTCGCTAAAACTAGACTCAAAATTAGGTATAAATTAATAAAAAGAAGGTTGTCTCTAATTGTGTCTCCGATACATAAAGGAACAGTTTATGGCAATTATACTAATGGAATTGAATAGAATTACCTTCTCATCATCTACAGTTTCCACCATGGCGAGGTTTGGCACACCAGCTGTGTAACAATGAATAATAAGTAAAGACACAACAAACATTGCCCTCCAGAATACAAAACCAACTAAAGTAAAAGTTCAATTTCAGATATCCATGAAAAAAAGCTTAGCTTAAAAGCAGTAATAATAAACTATGATGTAAACACGGACATTTTAATCAAAAGTCCCTAATAAAAACGTAGTTTTGCTTACCAATCAACGGCTTCACTTTATTGCTCTGCAAATTCCCAATAAAATGCCACTCTATGTCATCCGGAAGCTGCAATTGCAAGCACAGAAATGATTATTACTTCGGTGCTTTATCATTTTCAAAATGAAAATAATTTACTAATTCGATGCTTTTTTTTCTTTTGAATGAAGCGGGGGAAGAACCTGAGGGGCTTTCTCGACAAGTTCTTGGACATAGTTTTCGCCGAAACATCGATGACCGGCGTCGTAAACTTGGCGAACGAGGGAGACGGGTTTCGTTTTACTGACGGCAACGACGCGGATCCGCTGCGATTCACGACCACATCGCTCAGCGGCCTGGTGGACTCTCTGGAAAACTGAACGGAGAGACGATGCTGCTATTCCGTCCATCGCCGCCGACGAGGCTGCCATCTCTTGTTCTTGTTGATGTTGTGGGTCGTGATCGGGTTTGTACTCTTCCAGATTGTTCATCAGTACTTGTGATTCTTATTTCCTTCGCTCTCGCTCGGTTCACCATCGGGATTAAGCAAAACGTTGCGTTTTAACCATGGAAAAATACGGTGCGTTTTTAGCGCTTGTGACATGACAATATTGATTGACTTTTGTTCCACGCGTTGTTTATCTATTGGTTTTCTATTAGCAGGTCAATTTTTAAATGCTGAATATAAAAATAAGTGTTAATAAAAAAATAATATAAAAATAAGTATCCAAACTATCTTTAAAATTAATTTTTAATGTCTAAAGAATATTGGGTAAATTACACATTTAATATTTAAATTATTGGTTTTGATTTGTTTTAGTATCTAAACTTTTAATTTTTTCAAATTTATACCTAAAGTTTAGTTTTTATTTCATTTTAGTGCCCAAACTTAACGTTAAATTTTAAAAAAAATCGAAAGTTTAGGTACTAAAATAGATCAAAACTGATAGTTTAGATACTAAAAGTATTTAGCTTTTAACGACGAGGTACTAAAATGAAACAAAAACTAAACGTTAGGTATGATTTTAAAAAAATTGAAAGTTTAGATAGTATAACGGGCCAAAACTGATAGTTTAGATACAAAAAGCGTAGTTTATCTAAAAAAATTTGTTTAAAATAAGCGCACCTAACGTTTTCTCCGTTACAGGTACCTACCATTAGAAAAATATTAAAGACATGTGTCACGTTTAATTTTTTTTAAATTTTTAAAAAATAATATTTTATTTAAAAAATATAATTATGATACATGTCATTTAACATGTTTTTAATAATAGACAACTAAAAATATTTTTTAGAAACCAAAACTTAATTTTATATATAATTTGGACCTTATTTTTGATCAAGTCATTTGTAAAATATTAGTTTTAGGATAAATTACATAAATAGTCAGCAAACCTGTTAGGATCTTGCATTTTAGTTACTGGATTTTAAAACCTATAAACAGTCACTGCTCTTAAAAATCGTTAATATTGTACGTTTTAATCATCTTCTTCTCTCAAAAATCTAAAATTTTTCATATTAATAATATTATCTTTTTCTATCAAACACAATACCTTAAATACATCAACTTCCATTCTTTTACTATCAAATTCATCAATGTGATACTTTGATTGAATGAGAAAAAGATATAATGACATAATTTTGATATCAGTCCATACAATTAGAGTGTTAATCATGCATACATGTGAAAGAACATACATGCATACATATGAAAGAACATACATGCATACATGTTAATCATTAGTTAAAAGAAAACATCTATCACAGACAAGAGCATGGAAAACAACTATATAAATCTGATGTGATCCCATACAAAAAATTTAAAAATGAAAAAAAAAAACAATGGTTGAAAAACACAGTGCTAATCTATTAGTGTCTGCTGTTTGTGCCATTGGGAGTGTTGCCGCTACTATTTGGGTGAGCAGCACCGATGATGGAGGTAAGAGCGGCCGCAAGGGCGGCAGTTAAGTTCGGGTCATTCGCCATAGCCACCGTGGCAGTACTCACCGTGTCGGCTAACTGAGGCTGCTGCAATTGAGTAGAAGACACCATGTCCTGAGACAGCTGTAGGCCTGAGAACTTTGATTGATTATAAAATGCTTGACCAGAAAGTACTTGAGGCGATTGTGTATTCGGTTTTTGGCCTTGTAGATCGTTCGGTGAGTGAGTAAGGTCCAGTGTTACGGTCGGGAATGGAGCCGAAGCCGAAACCGTCGCCATTGAAGAACATGGAAGCATAGCTCTTGCGAGCAAATTTGGGTTCATGATACCATCGGCACTAGGCATTGAACCCGAGAGTAACATGGTGGCCGCCGCCTTCATTTTCGATGCCGTCGCCACCGCAGCTGGAGGAAGTAGGTGGTTATGGTTCCCTTCGTAAGTTGTTATCAAGATTGTTCGATCTTCCGCGCATCGTTGAACCTGGGAATTACACCAAAATCAAACTTATCAGTCCATGGCTTCAAATTCTAGACCCAAGCTGAATGCAGATTGAAACATACTTGTTTTCGGACCGGACAACAAACTGCCATCGTACACCGATAATAAGCTCGAAGACAGGGGTTTCCTTTCGCCATCTTTTGTCCGTATTTTCTCCATTGGCATCCATCACTTATCTGTATATCAATGAGTTTTCCAACAATAACTTCAGACAGAATCCTTTCAACTACTGCATTAAAACACTAACATTTATATATGTATATATAGGGGTGTGTATATATACCATGGGAGATTCTGATCGAGCTCGAACATAAACAAGATCTTTTCTCATGGTAGCCTCAGTACCGGATTGATCAACCGGACTGATCACCCTTGAGCAATATTAAACAAAGAAGCTCACAAGTGTGTTATAAAGAATTTGACAATTTTAATTCTAAAACTATTTTGATGTTGGATTGATCTTCCAATTGACTTTATTGTTGTTCTCTATTTGAATCATGATCCCTTTTATGTCTTCTAACATTAATCTAGCCGTTGAGAATTGAATAGAGCCGTTGAATTCATTAATTTTGAGTATTTAATGATTATCTGCACATTTGGTATCGATACCAAGTAATGGGTATCGAGACCGACCTTTCCAATGATAAAAATATAGCCGTTGAACCATCGGTATCGATACTATTTAAGTGAGTATTGATACCCATCCAATAGTATCGATACCAACACCAAGGTATCACATGGTATCGATACCAAATTACACACTAGAATACTGGTATCGAGACTAGATTATTGGTCTCAAGACTGGAAAGGGTTTTTGGCTCATTTCAAGTGTTTTGAGCTTTAAAAAAATATTTGTAAAATATAAAATCACTCAATAACACTTATGATTATTTTTCACACTTAAAAATACTTTAAAAATAGTTTATGACAAATTATTTATAAAAATATAAAATGTAAATTTTAACAACTTAAAACATTAAAAAAGTTATGTTATATTAAAATCAAATGTTGGTTCAATAATCTCACACTTTTTTATACAACGAAAAATGTTGTGAAAAATTTTACATTAATACATATTTCTCTCCCCTTTTTGTTATAACAAAATTAAATTAAACTTCAAAAGAGAAAATATATTAGTGTAATAGAGAACTCGAATATTCAACATAAATTTATAAGATCAAATTATGCTTGTCATAATATAATGAAGTTCGTAAGATCAAATAAGCATAAATTCATCAATCAGAGTATTTCAGACATAAAGTATCAAAATAAAATAGTACCAATGCGACACAAAGTGGTAAAATAAAATCCATATAGTGCATGAAAAATAAGTCATAATGCAAATGTCCTAAAAGCACCATAAATATGCTTATTCTTCTGGATGCGGTGGCGAAGGAGAGGAAGGCATCAAGTGATGACGAATCGAACGAATACCATCACGAATCGAACGAATGTTAGTCTCAAGCGAGTCCAAGCGATGATCCATCATAGTCATACGAGCATATCTAAGTTCCCAATGCCTCAAAGTATGTCATCATGCAACGTTTCCATCAAGATCTCCTCTTGAGGTGGTGGCACTAGAGGCATAATCTTATATTTATAAATAAAAATAAACAAATAAATAAACACAATACATAACAAAACAATATTATATTTATAAATAAATTATTAACGTTCATAGTCTTATATAAATATAAACTATTTTTTCATATCAAAATAATATGATAAAATATATAATAGTTGTTGAACTTGCTATATATTTTCTTCCAAATCGAGTTAAATTATATATATTTGTTCGACTTTCTGTTTAAATTTATATGTAATTATTTATAATGATTAAAATTGATTAATTCATATTTAAACATCTCTCTAATCTATATATTTTTCACATTCTTTTTACCGTGTAAATAAGATTTATAATATTATTTAATAAATCAATTTTTTTTTAAAATCTATAATTATAGTATCATTTTAAAGAAAATATTTTGAAGACAAATATTAATGATAGTATAGATAAATCAAAAAATTTATAGAAAAAAATGTATTTGTAAGGAATTGTAATCATATGATGAAAATTTCCTACCACATACATAATTATTTGGATTGGATATGTAATTTCCTTGGTTCTAGGGTTGTAAATGAGACGAGACATATTGTGAGGTACTCGAGATTGACTCGATCAAGGCTCGATAAATACTCGGTTCAAATGGACTCGACTCGAGCTCGAGTTCTTAATGAGCCGAAATGAGCTACTTGATATTCGACTCGAAAAGCTCGTGAGCAGCTCGAAAATATAATATATTAAGATCTTATTTTTTTTAAAAAAATTATTAATAATATTAAAATTTATGTATTGATTTTTAAAAAATAAAATACAATAAGATTTTCATATATTTAAGGTTCAGGTTTAAGTTTGAGTTTGAGGCTTCAATCGAGTTAAGTTTAAGATTTTTTTTTTCATTTCGAGCTGCTCACGAGCTTCAGTTCAAGATTTCAAGTTCGAGTCGAGCTTGAAAATTTTAAGCTCGCGAGTTTTTGAGTCGAGTCGAGCTCAGTAATACTCGAGCTCGACTCGGCTCGTTTATACACCCCTACTTGGTTCTATATGCATGTGTGTCTTAGGTCAATTGCCACCCAACTCATTTGATTGCCTGATACTTTGTTCATTAGTAGGTTAATTTGAATAGATTAGGTATTATCGAGGTTAATTATAAGGTAATTTTATTAAGTAATTTATTCTTTTGCTTTTCTCTTATTGGTCGTATTGTTTATTACACGCAGAGTTGAAAAGCATGGGATAGTGGGTGCATGGTGTGGTGGTGGAGCGTCAACGAACCGTAGACCTTTTTCTATAGAAAGATTTGGCAAAGTGAAGTTGAAGTTCAATGCCATATTACTTGCCTCCTATAAAGATTACTTATTTTATGGGATTTGTCTGCCATTTTCTTCTTCCTTAAGACTAAACACATTATGTTGAAAGCTCTTGCTTTAAAAAAAATTAGCTGACTCTATTCCCATATGTAATGGGGTAAGGGAGACGTATGATAGTAGGCTGCCCCTAACGCTAGGTTGAGAGCAACTTCCGTGGAAGACCTCCGATAATTATGAATTGTCCACCGTAGGACTCGATCCCACGACCACAAGATTAATAGCCTTGCGTTCTACCAACTGAGCTGGACAAACAATTCTTGAAAGCTCTTGCTTTGTTATGTTTAATGGATTTTGTGCACATGAGTGTTCACAACACTAATACTTTAGAGTTAATTGCAACATACATCCCTAATTTATGATCCTTATTTCAAATTAGTCCCTAAATTTTTAGATATTTAAATTTCAGCCTAAAACTATGACTATCATTCTAAATTAGTCCTCAAAATTTTGAACATTTCATTTTCATCAACAAACTATGATTTCATTCTAAATTGATCCCCAAACTTTTTGAATATTTCAATTTTATCCTAAATTATATGTATATACTAATTACATCTCTTGTTAATAAAATTATTAGGCCAAGTTCTATTATTATATATTTGAAAGAAAGAAAAATTTAGGTTAAACTATGGTTGAAATGGATTACATATTTGGATGGATTTGGGGATGAAATTGGAAGATCTAAAAGTTTAGGGACCAATTTAGATTGAGATTCATAGTTTGGGGATGAATGTTCAAAAGTTTAACAACTGATTTAGAATGAGAGTTATAATTTGTGGATGAAATTAGAATGTTTAAAAGCTTAAGGACTAATTTAAAATAAGGGTCATAGTTTGAGGACATATAATGCAATTAACTCAATACTTTAACATATATTGATTATAGATATGGAAATATATCAATTTAAATATTTAAAAGTTTAAAAGACATTGATTTAAGGTTGAAACCAGAATTGTGATATCTTAGGTTTAGTTATGCTTAGAATGGGAAATTTTATTCTGATTTACACCTTCCGTATGTGAATGTAGTCTGAATATATTTTAGTTATTATTTAAATTGTGATTTATAATAGTTGATCATTATGATCATTTAATTTAAAGTAAAAAATTATACGAATTAAATGACTTCCGTGATAAAGGTATTATTAATATTTTTGAGGACTCGGGTTCAAGCATTATAAATATTATAGGTATGAGTGTTTAATATTAAAAGTTTGAGAGTTATCTTTAAACAAATACTACGTTGTATTTTACTGATTAATAAAGAAAGAGTCAAAAGACATTAGGCAGCATATCGAGAGGGATTTGATACTTAACAACAAACGGAAAGCCCCCAAAAGCCCAATAGATACAAAAAGGCCCAAAGGCTAATATTCTTTGTAGAACATCACAGTCCATTATGAAAAACATTGGCTTTGAAGGTCAAAGATGATATAATTTAATCAACCGGAGTTGATTCAAGTGATAAGTAATTTGATATCGCTTAAGTATGGTCTCGAGTTCGAGTTCCTTGTGTATGCTGAAAATCCATATTAAGAGACTCACTCAATAAAACTATATGTGCGATGCGGGTCAATTAATCAAAATAAAGCCTTAGAACCGAAATGACAACAAAACAAATGATATCATTTATATTTCAATACTTTTCAACGCACAACCATTTTAAAATTCAATGAGCAAGGAAAATAACTTGTTAGTTATATTTCGAATTTTGTTATAACTAAAATTCTAATGTTTGATATATCTTTTTTCTTGTTGGTATTAGTGGCGGGTGTATTAAGCTTTCCCAGGATCAAGTGTATCTCATTATTTTGAAAAAATGATTAAATTTAGTTTAGCGTAAAGTATACAAATGATCTCTTGACTATAGGTTGTTCTTTTGTTAAGTCTCATACTATCAAAAGATACAAAATGGTCCACAACTATAGGATGTTGCTTTGTTGAGTCTTTCGACTATTAAAAGTTACAAAATTGTCACCCAACTATCCATTATGTTCCAAATTCATCCTTTTTTTCGTTAAAAATTTAACAACAATCTGAATTGGATGTTAACATGTTGTCTCAGATAATCGTTTAAGATTCTTTGATATATTAACATCCAATTTAGACTGTCGTCATTTTTTTTTTTAAAAAGTGATAAATTTTGAACATAATGAATAGTCACGTTATCATTTTGTAATTTTAATAGCCGGAGACTCAACAAAGCAACATTATATGATCGGTGATCATTTTGTAACTTTCGATAATCATGAATTCAATAAAAAAAACACCATACATTCAAGGGACAATTTGTACACTTTGCCCTTTATTTTAATGTGTTAAAAAAAATTTACATATCATCATTTTAAAAAAAAATTAGACTTCATTCTTAAATTTTTTAATTTTCCATTGGTTGATATATAATAAATTTATATTATTATTTTACGATGTCGTTTCTTTAC